TTACCTGAAATTCTATTTTTTTTAATAGCTGAGTAGAATCCCCTAGTGTATATATACCACGTTTTCATTATCCGTTCATCAGGTGACAGACATCTAGGCTGTTTCCATTCCCTAGCTATTGTGACTACAGCTGCAGTGAACACGGCCAAGCAAGAATCTGTGGACCAGGATATTGAGTCCTTTGGGTGTATGCCAAGGAGCGGTATCGCTGGATCATATGATGGCTCTACTTTTAGCTTTTTGAGAATTCTTCACGCTGATTTCCATAGTAGCTGCACCTCTTCGCAATTTGCTATCAGCTTGCTTTTCCTGATCTTAGCAGCTCTGACTGGGATGAGAGGAAATCTCCAAACCTTGTGTGCTCGGGCATTAGTCCCCAAATCCACCGGTGAGAAATCCTAAAGCAGAAAGCTCTGCACTGCAAAGGAAACAATCGACCAAGGCAAGCAAAGGTCCGCAGAGTGGGGAGAACCTTCATCAGCTGTTCTTCTACAGAGGGTTCATAGCCAGAGCACGTAAGGTTCTTCAAAACGCAAGAAAATAAACCCAATATAAAAAGGGGCTATAGATCTGACAGAAAGCTCTCAAAGGAAATACAAAATGGCTAAGAAATATCTTTAAAAACTGTTTAGCAGCCTGATCAATCAGAGAGATGCAAATGTTTTCTAATTTTAAAAGTAGTTATTTTGGTGGCTAGGGAGACAACTGTCATCGTCGTGTGTGCATGGGGACCCGAGTCCATACATGAGGGCCTAAGTCCATGAATGAAGACCCAGGCCTGTATCCTCAGAACCCATGTTAAGCTGGCATTGTGGTGGATCCCCATAATCTCATCACTGGGGGTGGGGGAGTAGGGCGAGAGAGAACCCTGAGGTCTCGGCCAGTCAGTTTAGCCAGTCTGCGAGTTCCAGTTTCAGTGAGAGGCTCTGTCTCAAAAATAAGTTGGAGAATCAATGGGGGAACCTTGACTTTGACCTCTGACCTCCACATGCATATATGTGTGTGTGTGCCCATGCCACACAAACATACATGTATTTTTATATTTATATGAACACATATATTTGTATATACATGCGTATGTGCACATATATACATGTGCACTCTCTATATATCTATTTTACTCTCCATATATACTGTATCTGCCCATGCAGCACACATATGCATGCTCCATATATGTGTGCATATGCAGACATGTTTATATGCACACATAAATACATATATGCACTCACTATATGTATATAGTTCTCTGTATGTATACTATATCTGCCTATGCCACACACACATGCATATTCTCCATATATATGTGTTTGGGGAAGTTTGCTATAGAAAGGAACTGCTGCAGTGGCATGTCACAAGTGTCCCTCAAAGAGGTGTTTGACCACATTTGCATACACGCTAAGGGTTCTTTGCTTGGGGGGTGTCACTAGGGAGAGAGCCAAAACTATGCCTAGATTGGACGTCTCAATATTCGTCTCAGGCCCGTGTATATATGAGCCTGCTATGTGTGACATGCTGAGCGGGTCTTTTTAGTTTATGCAACTTTAAAGCAGAAGTGATTGCATTCAGTCCAAAGGGGTAGGTTTTGTGGGTAGTAAAAGAGATCATTAATGTCCCAGGCCTCAGTGATCTCCCCGAGCAACAGCAGCTCTGTGTGGCTGTTATTCCTTTTCCTATGTTTGTTATTATTACCCTCCAGACTTCAAGGGCATTCGTCTCAGGACTATGTGGTTCAATGTTTGCATGAGTTCTTGAAGAAATGAAGATATGACCGAAGTCCAAATAAACACCACCACCTAGGAGCTGGGGATGGGGGCCTGAGCTATTTATAGGCCTAAGTGTTTACTTGAATTCAGACATCCCCACATGTAAATTATGCAGAATCTGTGTCACAGCGGAGCACTCTGTGTTCCTAAAAAGAATCCTCCTTTTTCCCGGAATCTTTTACCTTTAAAATAAATCTCATTATGGAGTGCTGACATTTTCAGTAAAACCATTCAACCAAAAGCTGTAGGTTTTTTTTTTTCTCTCAGACTTAAAACAAGTGTGGTTTATTAGGCAGCCATGTATAACACACTGCTAAGTAGATACAGTCTATTTAGAGAGGTTTATATAGATAGCTGATAGGCTGTCTCAGTCTTTCCTCAGATAGGACATGTTAAGTGGACTATCAGGATTCATCTCTCAGGAGAGGAGAAGCTGACCGTTGCTGTTTAGAATGAGTGGGAACCACAGAACCCCGACTTCAGTAAGACCACTAGTATTTGAGGCTGTTTCTCTCTACCATACTGTAACTGTGACTTAACTTTCTAGCAGAATGACTGTAGATATTACCTCCTTCGAGGGGTTGTGGGCAGATGGAACACCAATACATGTAAATGCACAGTGGCTGCAGTCCCAGTCAATGCCAACCCCTCCTGGGTTTCTTTTTCTTTTTTACTTCATCCCTAGTTTCTTCTTTCATGCTTCTCCAGTTCCCCCTCCCATGGATATAACTTTATTTCCACTTACCCACCTTTATACCACAAAGAAGGTGGCATATATATTCAGTTCCCCAAAGCCCCTTAGTGACCTGTGTCCACAATCAGTGCTCATCACTGAGAAGTTTAGAACCCCAATGGAGTCACTTCCCATACTCTGCCATCAGAATAGTGAGGTAAGTATTGTGTCCATTTCACAGACAAGTTACTTAAGCCCAAAGAAGTTTAAACTCTATAATCATACAGGATTATTATATGATAGAAATTCATCTTTCCATTCACATAGTCATTTTCTCCAAAGGACTCAAAATCACCATTGACATCCATTTATTTGCTCAGACACATATGTTTTTATTTCATAAACACATACACATTTCCTCGTACATTTTCATACAAATAGGGTTGATAACCCATACTTTAATTATGGCGCTTTCTGTAAGCAGTATTTATTCTGCATGGTAGTGTCCTTATGGTACCCACTGCTAAACACTTCGGATGTTATTCCTTCTTAGAAATTAAATTATGTAGATTAAAGAAATCATACAATGAAAATAGTCAGACTGTGTAGCTGGAGTTTTCCTGCCTGGTCCACAGTCAGGACAAATCTCTGTCACCCGCCAGTTCCACAGCAGCTCAGACCTGACCAAGTAAACACGGAGACTTATATTGCTTACAAATTGTATGGCTGTGGCAGGCTTCTTGCTAACTGTTCTTATAGCTTAAATTAATCCATTTCCATTAATCTATACCTTGCCACATGGCTCGTGGCTTACCGGCATCTTCACATGCTGTTTCTCATCGTGGCGGCTGGCAGTGTCTCTCTGACTCAGCCTTCCACTTCCCAGCTTTATTCTCCTCCTTGTCCCGCCTACACTTCCTGCCTAGCCAATGGCCAATCAGTGTTTTATTTATTGAACACATTTGCCATACAGAACATCCCACAGCAAGACTGAAAGACTATACCACTTGATGAACTTCCATACAGTTGAAGCTGCCGTTCAGAATGGAAGCCATGGAACTTCACATTGGCCTTTATACTTTCACTATCAAAGATATTTATGCAATTATAATAAAATTACATGTAATTATAATTATGTAATAAAATACAATACATTTGCAATATGTTTATGATGAATGTAAAATTAAAAATGAATTATGTAGATCTATGCAGGAAGAGAAAGGGTGAAGCCACTTCTAGACAGCCTAATGAGGTGATGGGTTTATAAAGTAGCTTAAGAAACCCATGGATTTGAACCATGACTAGGACACTGAGTGTTCTCTCTGCTGTAAGATGAGTGACTCTAGGCTGTATAGAAATGAGTAATTTGTCTTGGGAGCCTTAGATTTGACCCTAAGTTAAAGGGAAGTTGTACAGCAAAGTGGAGGGAGTAATGCCATTCGGTTTACATCTTAAGAACTGCACCATGGCTACTGCTCAGGAAATGGGTGGGGGCAAGGTGTCCATAACCCTCAACCACTAGACTGATTACATGTGGCCAGAATTCTGACATGAACTGGTCACAAAACAAACAGGTCAATCTTTTAGTAAAAAGCACACACTAAATTCTAACAAGTCATAAAGTCTTTTAAAAATGTATTTATTTTATATATGTGCATATTTTGGCAGCCTGCTTATATATGCACCATGTATGCATGGTGCTCACGGGGGCCAGAAGAAGGAGGCAGATCTCCTAGAACTGGAATCACAGATGGTTGTGAACCATCATGTGGATGCTAGGAATCAAACCCTGGTCCTCTGAAAGAATAGCCAGTGCTCTTAACTGCTGAGCCATTTTGCCAGCCCCATAAGTCATGAAGTCTTACATCCTGAAGGATCTGCTATATTGACAAGAACTGCTCCCTCCTAATTAGAAAGCACTGTTATATTTCCTTCCTGTTTTCTTTCAGAAATCTTAATTCACAGCCAAAACACTCCTCTTGTACCCCAAAAGTCTCTCACTTTGGGAGCGAATCAAATCGGTGAGCACTTACCAAGCGTCTCTTGCTCAGTTGCTTGGCTATCACTTCCCCAGAGGGATGCGATTGCTTAGGTCGTGGTGATCCTCATTTAACTCTGCTTCATCTCCACCTAGCAAACGGTTCCTGGAGATCAGTGTAAGCTAGTTGACAGTGAGAGGACTTTGTAGTGCAGCCTGAGTTAGGACAATGACATTCCTGGTATCCTGGAGGAGGACTGCTCCATGAAGGCTTCCTGGAGAGCCAGGAGGGTAGAAAGTACAAATTGGTCCGAGGTCAAGATGATGCAGACTTGGGTTTCCTCAAATGGGTTTATCTAAGGGGGAAACATCTTGAGCTCTGTGGTCCTCAGCCGTTTATTTCCCTGGCTTCTTTAGCCTTCCCTCATCTCTCACACCCGGGGCAGATTGGCAGACAAAGGGTGGCCGGAGGTATTTCTCAGCCCCCTTTTCTGTGCAGGGCCTGATGGTCTTAGTGAATGCTGTTATTTCTGTTTAAGACACCTTGCAATCATTGCTTCTGTTCACCCTGTGGTTGCTCCTTCAGGATCGACCACTGGAACAATGAGAAGGAGAAGGTCCTGCTGCTCACGGATAAGACCCTCTTGATCTGCAAATACGACTTCATCATGCTTAGCTGTGTGCAGATGCAGCAGATCCCCCTGAGTGCCATCTGTCGCCTCTGCCTGGGCAAGTTTGTCTTCCCGGGGATGTCTCTGGACAAGTGAGTAAGATGCCTTGGACTTGGAGCAGCTGTGAAGCAAGGCAGACATAAGCAGGGACATCAATAACATGGTCAATTGAGTAACATAAGCTGGAAGATGCAGAGGAGAAGGGAAGTTCTACCATTAAGCTCATCAAAGTATCAAGTTAGCTTCTAATCTATGTTAAGCGCCAGAGATGTGATTTTAAGCAAATTGGTAATTTAGAACGAGAACCTAAGTAAATAGCTAAATGTATGTAGGTAGGGAGAGCTATGAGAATATAGAGGAAAAGTTCCTACTCAGTTCATATGGCAAACAATTAGAGAAGGTTTCCCTGGAGAAGCACTTAAGTTCGTATTTGTTGTTGCGCAGGAGCTATCCAGGCAGGCAGAACAGCACTCCAAGCAGAGGAACAGCATAGCCCCAAAGAGTAAGGCAGGGTCAGGGGCATTCGATATGGTTTGGTATTCAAGTTGTTCTGTAAAACCAGATGGACAGACCTCCCCAGAGTCAGGAGCTGTGGTTTTTCAAACTCCTCCCTGGAGCTCAACGGTTGCACACCATGAACAAGGGACTGGGTGAGGTCTGCAGAGGAGGAGGAGTGTTGACCTGGGAGTGTTGTTGGGTAGCCATCTTCATCAAAGACTTACAGAAGGTCAACATCATTTGTTGTTGTTCTTGTCCACTAAGCACCTGGCACTGGGCTTGGCACGTTCTCAGAGCTGAGAACTCAAGCACCTTGAATGAACATATCGGTTTCCTCACCAAAGCTTTACCATATCATATCAAAGAGCTGTGTTTCATTTGCTCTTTGCATGGAAACAAGAAGTAACCGACTCATTTAGTTTATTAACTTTCAGAACAAGTAGGTTTTTCAACAATGTGTACACATGCAAAATGTATTTAGATGTCACAAAATATTTATTTTTAAGACCTTTGTTTTCCACTCGAGACCCTCTATCCTACATTCTTTACACAGAAACCAGCAATTTATTGCTTACTTTTGAAGACATTGCCTGCAGATACAAAATAACAAACAGTCTCTGTGTGTACACCTTTAAAACTCGACACATCTGCAGAGCAGTTCCAGTCTCTATTACTGCAGAGTGTTCCTATTTAAACCTGCTTAGCTGGCTTCTCACCGATGGCTGATGGACAGCCACCTTTGCCCTAGCTATTGCCAACTGTGCTCCCATAAATGTTCTTGCTTGTGGGACTTCGCATAAGTGTGCAAATACATCTGCAACCTAGAGATCCAGGAGTGGAATTTGTTAGGTTAAAGTCGTGTGAATCTTGACTCACAGAGATAGTCAAATGCCCACCATATAAGATGAAAATGTTGATGCAAGAGGGTATCCTTTGGTACCTAATCTCACTAACATTGTGTAATGAAACTTTCTTACTTTGCCAGTCAGTTAGATTAAAGAAATTATTTTGTTTTGTTCAATTTACCTTAGGAGAATGTGAAGGGAGTAAATTTTTCTATAAAATACCCCCTTTTTGACAAGACCAAGTATTTGTCCTTTTGGCGTTGTTAGAGATGCTTATGTGTCAGAGAATATCATCTCTTTTCTTTTTTTGGGGGGGGGCAGGGAGTTCATTTATTTATTTATTTGAGACAGGGTTTCTCTGTGTAGTTTTGGTGCCTGTCCTGGATCTCGCTCTGTAGACCAGGCTGGCCTCGAACTCACAGAGATCCGCCTGGCTCTGCCTCCCGAGTGCTGGGATTAAAGGCGTGCGCCACCACCGCCCGGCCAAGAATATCATCTGTGTTCTGTTGTGCACGTTGGATCATTTCATCCTAGTGTGCCACCGCACTTACAGATTTATAATGCTATTTTATGGCCTTTGCTTCCTAATGTCAGAGCTATCATTCTTTCAGGGTTTTGAAATTTTCAAGGGAGATATTATCTGTAATGGAATTATAATATCCGTTTCCATGTTTTGAGCTCATAATTTAATTTTTAAACATGGTTAAGTTGCTATTTCATCTGAAATTTGCTTGAGGTAGGGCAATAGATAATCAATCAGCTAACATTCTCTACATCATTTATTCAACATTCCACCTTCCCCTACTGATTTGAAATGTACCTGCATGGTGTATACCTTCCTCACACATCTCTGGGTATTTCCACATTTTTTAGTCCATTCTGCTCATCAAAGCACAGTACAGTTTTAATTATTCTATTGCACTCTGTGCTGACATGCACAAGGTACATTAGTCTGTCATTTGTTACTTTGCTGTTGTCACAGTTTAATATGTGCATTGTGCTGTCCTCATACAACAAGTTGAGAAATATTTTATCCTTTACTTTGTAGAAAATTTTGGTGATGAGTGATTTAATCTCTGTCTTGAAAGTTTGATCACATTAACATGGGGAATCTTGACATGACTAGGTGGACTAGTTTCTTAAATAAAATTATTTCATGAATATTATATAATTACACTTTCTTTGATTTACTTTAACTTTAATGAGCTTTGTTTTTCAAGAAATGTCTTAAGCATATTGGGCTTGTTGTATTTGAAGGTATAAAGTTACTAACAATATTCCTCATTTCCCCTTTGACATCAGTAAGACATGTTACTAATGTTTTCACTTCTTGCTAAGGTGGTTTGTGTCCTCTGTGTTTCCTACTCATCTATGAACTTAGCTTTAGAAAGACACGTCTTTTGTCCCTTTTGCTGCATTTCCCTATTGCTTGGTTACTATTTACTGAATTCTGCTCTTTTTTCTACAATGTCTTTCACTTGTCAATTTGGGGCTAACTTTTCCTCTTTTATAACTGATTACAGAAAAAAAACAAGGTTATTATGTAAGATTTCTCATGTTTTCTCCTATAAGTATTCAGAGTTATCCTTTTAACTATTGTTTTTGGTGCCTCACATAAATTGAAATGTGCTGTATTTCTTTTTTCATTTTGAGATATCGTCTAATTATTTTTCTTGTGATTTCTTTCTGAATCCATAAATACAAGTTGTACCAGCTAATATCTGATTTTTTCTAAATATCTTTATATTACTGAATTTTCATTTAGAGAACCTATATCTTTACATTAAGAACCATTATTTATTTTATATGATGGATATTTTATCTGCTTGTACATTGTGCACCATGTGCCTGCCAGGTGCTTGTGGAGTCCAGAAAAAGACAGCAGATCCCCCTGGATCTGGAGCCCCAGATTCTTCTGAGTTACCCTGTGGGTGCTGGAAATCAAACCTGTGTCGTCTTTAAGAGCATCAACTGCTCGTAACCACTGAGCCATCTCTCCAGCCTCAAGAACTCATGTCTTTCATTTAAGACCTTATGAATGTATTGAGATTTATTTTATGGACTAAACTGCTATATATCTTCTTGACGGCACCAATTTTATGCTGAAGTTGGCTGGCACATGAATTAGGATACTGTATTTGATAATGTTAATTTAGCTATCTACAACGTGACTGAATTTTTTCCAGTTTTACAACGGTTAGTTCTATTAGTCAATTTTTTAGCGTATCTGTGACGAAATACCTTAGAAAACCAGTTACAGAACAGAAGCATTCACTTTGGTTCACAGTTCCAGAGATTTCAGTCCAAGTTCTCTTGGACTGATATGCTGGAGCATCTGTCAGCTCTGGGAGCATGTGGAGGATGTAGTTCATTTCATGAGGGACAGGAGCCAGACAGAGAGAGAGAGAGAGAGCCAGTGACTAAGGGCAGACCCTCATAGTTCTTTTCCTCCAGCTAGCCCCGCCCCCTAAACTAGTGCCACTTTTTAGGGACCAAGTGTTTAATATATGGGCTTTTAGGCCGTTTCAGACACAAACCATGACAGCCTTGAAGAGAAGTGTTAACGTTTGTCATTGTGTAACTGAGTTCTTTCTTTAGTTTTGTTGATTTTTGCTTCATGTGTTTTTTTTGGATGTGTTCTACTAGATACATATATACAATGATAAGTTTTATACATATATACATATTCAGTTTTTCCTCATTAAAAATATTTTCCTAGAAAGTAATCAAATTTGTGTGTCTGTATAAGCTTTTTACTTTCATTATTTTTTAAAAAAATAATTGTTTTTTAAATATGAGGGTTTTTTTCTTAAAGTATGAGTTTATATGCATCACATGCCTGTAGGTACCTCAGAGGGTCAGAAGAGGGCATCAAACCCCTTGGAACTAGAGTTACAAAAGGTAGTGAGCCACCTGATGTGGGTGCTGGGAACTGAACCTGGATCCCCTACGAGAAGGGTAAGTGCTCTTAAATGCTGAGCCCCTCTCCAGCTTCTCAGTGTTCCTCTTTATCCTTGGCAATGCACAGTGTTTTAACGATCTGTTTTAAATCTGATACTAGCCAGGTGGTGGTGGAGCACGCCTTTAATCCCAGCACTCGGGAGGCAGAGCTAGGCAGATCTCTGTGAGTTTAAGGCCAGCCTGGGCTACCAAGTGAGTTCCAGGAAAGGCGCAAAGCTACACAGAGAAACCCTGTCTAGAAAAACAAAACAAACAAACAAAAATGTTAAATCTGATATTATTTTAGCACCTCCATCATTTTTATACCTAATTTCCCCCCCATAGAATATCACTCTCCATCCTTTCGTCTCTACTTAGTAATCCTCCATGTTTACTGTGTGTTCCTTGCCACAATCCCATAGGTCACACAGTTAATCCATTTGAATCATACTTGCCTTTTAATGGAACATTTACTCTTTTCACATTTTTGTGATTTTGATATGATCAGCTACCTGCTACTTGCTCCCTATTTTTTCCTTTAATTTTTGGTTCCTTTGTTCTCTTTTTGCTCATATTTTGATTAAACATTTATCATAATCAGATTTTGGTCCATCCATTGGCTTTCATCTATAGTATGTGTTGTGGCTGCTTTGTGGCAGAGTTCATCAATCTTAACATTATTGGTGGTTTGGAAAGGAGAATTATTATTTCTGGGTAGCTGTTTGGTGTTGTGTAGAGTGTTCAGCAGTATGCCTGGACTCTACATCTCTACCTACCGCCAGCCACTAGTGATCACTCAGGGTATTTCT